GTTTTGTCTCATACCCATCTCATCACACACTGTTTGGCCTAAGAGTTAGACTTTTACCAAAAGGTAGGATCCTGGGTTGGATTCTCAAAGCTATAGTAACACGATTCTCTTAGCATCCTTTAAATGACAGCATTAAAGAGAGTGATAGTTTCACCAGTGTAACAGGAACTGGCCTATGTTCTTCACCTGTAGTCTCAGGTTACAATGAAGTGCAACTAGAAATGCCTGCGGACTGTGAATGAGAATGCCTGCTGTGACTACTTCCTGTCAGCTGACAGGTGAACAGCCAATAAACAGCCGCCATACTAATCACCCAAGCATGCCTTTCCGCAGAGCTGGGTCTGAGCACTGTCACTTACTGTTTGATTATCTGTTCTGATCGGATAATTTCTGGTAAGTGTTGTGTTATTTTTTTTCTGGTGTGGACAAACCTCCGTACTTCTAGTATAGCTGGTAACTCTGCCTCTTTATCGGCCTGATGTATGTGCTGACCCACAAGTTGTAAAATTTGTGGCCAGTGCAGTCACCCAATGAGTCATGTGTGACTGATTCTCACGGCATGGCTCTACTACTTCCAGATGGTAGTGTGACCAGGTCTGTTTGTAGTCGTTTGACACTGTGAAGGGGTGCCAGCTGCTGGCACAGCTGTTCACACAGTCTGCTTGGCCCTGGGCTTTGATTACCTCTGAAATGTAGTAGAAGGTCACATTTTAACAACCCTTGGCTTCCCTGAGAAAAAGGCTGCTGTAGCAGTTTCTTGCAGCCCCTGACATAATGGTTGGTCAGCAGTCAGTGGATGTTCTACAGCAGGAATGATGGGCATACTCAGACTGCCCTGCTGTCCTCAGACTCTACTTCTAATTAGCTGAAGTGTGTGTGTGTGTGTATGTGTGTGAGTGAGTGAGTGAGTGTGTGTGTGTGTGTGAGTGAGAAGGAAATCTTGGGCCATGATGTAACAGACTGTTGGTTGTGTGATCCAGGCCTCCGTACTCGGCTCTGAATATGGCCAGCAAGAGATGTGTGGATTAAAAAGGGCTTCGTTACAGGACCATGCTCAGGTATCGACTCCCCAGCACCCTAGACCACTTGCCCTCTCCTCGTTATTGCCCATTACAATCCATGAACCCAAATTCTGCCAACCATATTTTCCCTCTGCTAGACTCCCTCTTGTTATACACTCACCTAAAGGATTATTAGGAACACCATACTAATATGGTGTTTGACCCCCTTTCGCCTTCAGAACTGCCTTAATTCTACGTGGC